TTTAACGTACTTCTTCTAGGACGTTCAGATCTCAACTATCTTCTAGGACGTTCAGATCTCAACTATCTTCTAGGACGTTCAGATCTCAACTATCTTCTAGGACGTTCAGATCTCATCATGTCTTCTAGGACGTTTAGATCCCAGCATGTCTTCTAGAACGTACAGATCTAGAAGGTTTAGATCTCAACATAACCTCTAGGACGTTCAGATCTCAACATGTCTTCTAGGACGCTTAGATCTCAACATGTCTTCTAGGACGTTTAGTTCTCAACATAACCTCTAGGACGTTCAGATCTCAACATGTCTTCTAGGACGCTTAGATCTCAACATGTCTTCTAGGACGTTTAGTTCTCAACATAACCTCTATGACGTTCAGATCTCAACATGTCTTCTAGGACGTTTAGATCTCAACATAACATCTATGACGTTTAGATCTCAACATGTCTTCTAGGACGTTCAGGTCTGAACATGTCTTCTATGACGTTTAGATCTCAACATGTCTTCTAGGACGTTTAGATCTCAACATAACCTCTATGACGTTCAGATCTCAACATGTCTTCTAGGACGTTTAGATCTCAACATGTCTTCTAGGACGTTTAGATCTCAACATAACCTCTATGACGTTCAGATCTCAACATGTCTTCTAGGACGTTTAGATCTCAACATGTCTTCTAGGATGTTCAGATCTCAACATGTCTTCTAGGACGTTTAGATCTCAACATGTCTTCTAGGACGTTTAGATCTCAACATAACCTCTATGACGTTCAGATCTCAACATGTCTTCTAGGACGTTCAGATCTGAACATGTCTTCTATGACGTTCAGATCTCAACTATCTTCTAGGACGTTTAGATCTCAACTATCTTCTAGGACGTTTAGATCTCAACATGTCTTCTAGGACGTTCAGATCTGAACATGTCTTCTAGGACGTTCAGATCTCAATTATCTTCTATGACGTTCAGATCTCAACTATCTTCTATGACGTCATATCTCAACTATCTTCTAGGATGTTTAGATCTGAACTATCTTCTAGGACGTTTAGATCTCAACTATCTTCTATGACGTTCAGATCTCAACTATCTTCTATGACGTTCATATCTCAACATGTCTTCTATGACGTTCAGATCTCAACAAATATGCAGTTATTTTCTCCTTGATCCATACCCCCCTCATTATTGTACAGTCCATGGTCTTCTGTTCCTATGAATATACCAAAATACCTGTATCTTTCATGTCCCACTTGCCCGCATCTTCCTTCAGTAGCAGAGCCTCCCATCGGCATCATCTATCTATCTTTAATTCACCATATAGGATGTCCTTAGAGACTCTACAACCCTCCATTCTTCAGGGTTGTCCCATGCATCTCTGTTACATACTGGGTATCCCAGGGAAACAGATCTATGATACCACAGACAATAATTTTTTTTTCAACTCATTTTAGAAGAACATTCGTTTTTCGAAAATCTACTCAACACAAGAACATTTCTTCTGTTAATCACAAGCAACAAAAGAACATTTTGTCGACCAATCACAAACGTCAGAAAAACAGTTATCTCACAATCACACATGATAGACGAATGTATATCTCACAATTACACACAATAGAAGAACGGTTATCTCACAATCACACACAACAGAAGAACAGTTATCTCACAATCACACACAATAGAAGAACAGTTATCTCAGAATCACACACAGCAGAAGAAAATGTATCTTATAAACACACACAACATAAGAACATTTATCTCATAATCACACACAATACAAGAACAGTTATCTCACAATCACACACAACGGAAGAAAATGTATCTCACAATCACACACAACAGAAGAACAGTTATCATTCAATCATACACACTAGAAGAACAGTTATTTCACAACTACACACAAAATAAGAACATTTATCATACAATCACACACAATAGAAGAACATTTATCTCACAATCACACACAATAGAAAAACATTTCCTCAACAATTACACACAATAGAACAGTTTTTCCACAATCACACACAATGGAAGAACATTTCCCCCACAATCACACACAATAGAAGACAATTTTTCCCATTATCACACAATTAAAAAAAACATTTTCCCCACAATCACACACGAACCATTTCTCCGTAATCTCACATAGTGGAAAAACATTTATCCATTGATCACACACACTAGATAAACATTGTCTATTAGCGATACACTAGATAAACATTGTCTATTAGCGATACAGTAGATAAATATTGTCTATTAGCGATACAGTAGATAAACATTGTCTATTAGCGATACAGTAGATAAACATTGTCTATTAGCGATACAGTAGATAAACACTGTCTATTAGCGATACAGTTGATAAATATTGTCTATTAGCGATACAGTAGATAAATATTGTCTATTAGCGATACAGTAGATAAACATTGTCTATTAGCGATACAGTAGATAAATATTGTCTATTAGCGATACAGTAGATAAACGTTGTCTATTAGCGATACAGTAGATAAATATTGTCTATTAGCGATACAGTAGATAAATATTGTCTATTAGCGATAAACACTGTCCAACAGGGAGACAGTAGATAAACACTGTCCAACAGGGAGACAGTAGATAAACACTGTCCAACAGGGAGACAGTAGATAAACACTGTCCAACAGGGAGACAGTAGATAAACACTGTCCAACAGGGAGACAGTAGATAAATATTGTCCAGTAGCGATACTGTAAACATTGTGCAATAACAATGCAGTAGATAAATGAGTCTCAAGAAATCAAAGAACGCTTCTGCAGCAATCAAAGAACACTTCTGCAGCAATCATATATAAAGGACCCCTTCCCAGGCTCCTATGTGTTTTTGCTATACAGACCTAGGCCTTTATTCTGAGACCAACTGGCACCTGGTGGCCGATGTGGTCAACCTTAAACCGCCTGCCTTTACTTCCCAGAAATTCACCTGGTACCCTCTCTAAGCTGGAGCCACCTGGGATTCAAACTGAAGAAACAATCTTGCTCGATACGGATTTGAACCCATGATTTTCGATCCACAGGCAAGCATCCATCCGCTACTCCATGGCGGCTGCCCATATAACTTCGAACTCACAGATTTGGAACATCAAACACACCAAGAGAAACATTCCCGCAACAGCCGTAGAATATACATGACACCACTCTTCTCAACAATCATGCGTTAAAGGATTTCTTCTTTCACAATCCCGTTTAGCGAAGAGGGTATTTGGGACGATTCAACAAATTTAACTTAATCTCTAGAACAATTAAGTAAAACAAAGGAACATCTTTACCAAATGAAATAAAAATAATAATAATAATTGGGGAGAAAATATTATATAGAACATCGCTGGATCACGCAATAAAATAAATGAACATTTATGACAGGGAAAAAAGAAATGTTTCTTTAAAATCTCAAAGGTTGAAGGGGATATGATATGAACAATGACACCAAATACAGTACGTAAATACAACAGTAAAAACATTCTCTTGGGCCAGAAGCCCACCAGTACAACAGTAAAAACATTCTCTTTGATAGAAGCCCGTCAGTACAACAGTAAAAACATTCTCTTGGGCCAGAAGCCCACCAGTACAACAATAAAAACATTCTCTTTGATAGAAGCCCGTCAGTACAACAGTAAAAACATTCTCTTGGGCCAAAAGCCCGTCAGTACAACAGTAAAAACATTCTCTTTGATAGAAGCCCGTCAGTACAACAGTGAAAACATTCTCTTTGATAGAAGCCCGTCAGTACAACAGTAAAAACATTCTCTTTGATAGAAGCCCGTCAGTACAACAGTAAAAACATTCTCTTTGATAGAAGCCCGTCAGTACAACAGTAAAAACATTCTCTTGGGCCAGAAGCCCACCAGTACAACAGTAAAAACATTCTCTTTGATAGAAGCCCGTCAGTACAACAGTGAAAACATTCTCTTTGATAGAAGCCCGTCAGTACAACAGTAAAAACATTCTCTTTGATAGAAGCCCGTCAGTACAACAGTGAAAACATTCTCTTGGGCAGAAGCCCGTCAGTACAACAGTGAAAACATTCTCTTGGGCAGAAGCCCGTCAGTACAACAGTGAAAACATTCTCTTGGGCCGGAAGCCTATCAGTACAATAGTGAAAACATTCTCTTGGACCAAAAGCCTATCAGTACAATAGTGAAAACATTATCTTGGGCAGAAACCCGTCAGTACAACAGTGAAAATATTCTCTTGGGCAGAAGCCCGTCAGTACAACAGTGAAAACATTCTCTTGGGCCAGAAGCCCGTCAGTACAACAGTGAAAACATTCTCTAGGGCCTGAAGCCCGTCAGTACAACATTGAAAACATTCTCTAGGGCCTGAAGCCCGTCAGTACAACAGTGAAAACATTCTCTTGGGCCAGAAGCCCGTCAGTACAACAGTGAAAACATTCTCTAGGGCCTGAAGCTCGTCAGTACAAGAGTGAAAACATTCTCTTGGGCCTGAAGCCCGTCAGTACAACAGGGAAAACATTCTCTAGGGCCTGAAGCCCGTCAGTACAACAGTGAAAATATTCTCTTTGATAGAAGCCCGTCAGTACAACAGTGAAAATATTCTCTTGGCCAGATTCCCGTCAGTACAACAGTGAAAACATTCTCTTGGGCCAGAAGCCCGTCAGTACAACAGTGAAAATATTCTCTTGGCTAGAAGCCCGTCAGTACAACAGTGAAAACATTCTCTTGGGCCAGAAGCCCGTCAGTACAACAGTGAAAACATTCTCTTTGATAGAAGCCCGTCAGTACAACAGTGAAAACATTCTCTTGGGCCAGAAGCCCGTCAGTACAAGAGTGAAAACATTCTCTAGGGCCTGAAGCCCGTCAGTACAAGAGTGAAAACATTCTCTTGGGCCTGAAGCCCTTCAGTACAACAGTGAAAACATTCTCTTGGGCCGGAAACCCATCAGTACAACAGTGAAAACATTCTCTTGGGCCGGAAGCCCATCAGTACAACAGTGATAATTCCAACAACACAATGGGTTGTCTTACCTTTGGGCTTGTTCTCCTTCTTATCGATGTCCGGTGACATGCAGGAGGTTCCTCCCTGGGGGGAGCCGGCCCCACACAGAGCATGGTAGCTGACACTGGCAGCCTCATATTGTGACCTCTGCTGGGCTATCAGCGGCGGCGACGGGTAGGCTGGATGAGGTGAATGATGGGAAGAATGTGAACCATGCATTGAGACCCCGACCCCCATGGGGGATGGACCCACGGGCTGGTGTAGGGAGGAACTATAGTCTTTGCTGGCGACCATGTTTGGCGTCATGGAGAAGTAATGCGACGAAGATCGGTGATGTCCCAGCGCCCCACCCATCTGTCTGTCTAAAGAGTTGCCCGACAACCCGTGGGAATGATATAACAAGTTCCAGTCCGCCGTCGAATAGGGAGAATACCCTAGTGGTCCACCGGGCCCGTGGCCCATCCCGACCCCGGCACTCTGCATACAGTCACTGAAAGGTGTGGCCCGCGGCAGGAAGCGACCCATCCCGTAGTTGCACGAGCCAGGGTTGAAGGAGTTCATACTGGGTCTGGTGGAGCAGCTGACTCGCTCCATACTCTCCATAGCCTCTGTTGTTGGAACTGTTTCTGCGCCTGACAAGGTCAGGGCAAGGGGCGGATGTTGCTGGCGCTAGTGAAGCATCCAAGTGAGGCTAAGATGTGTACATAAAACGTTCTAGACAACAAGCCTACTGCAGTACTTTCACAAACATATAGCTCCTGAACCAGTAAATTTGTGGGTGTGTTTACGTGAGTTGTTTGGTTTGTTCATGCATGTATTCACGTGAACCTTTTAGGTTTGTTTGTGCATGTGTTCACTTTGAATGCTGCGTCTTTGAAAACTGAACTAGTAGTTGGCAAATGAAAATGCTGAGCTAGGGAAACGTCTTCTTTTTTGCTGTTGAGATTGTTGGTGTTGCTGAAACTGTTGTAAATTATGTTTCACCCTGTGAACAAATCTTTGTTGACATCACTCTTTCCACCTAACATTGTATGATATTTAGTACGGAGACAAATGGGATGAATTCAGACGATGAAATAGTTCATGTATATCTGATTACTGAAGTGGTATTAAATATATCTTTGAAGCAATAGATGCATTAAACATATATTCCTCAAACTATGCGTATTGGCGGTGTAGCGATGATACAGTAGGCAGACTTTTGCTACAAAACACTGCTAAAGTTGAGAAATTTGGCTAAAGTTGAGAGATTTGGCTAAGGTTGGAAGATTTCGCAAAAGTTGGATACTATCTCTGCATTAAAGAAAATACATTTTAGAACTGCTTTTCTTAACAAAATATGTTGCCACCGTTTAAGGATGCATTTCCTATAGGCTCTAACCTGGATGACAACGATTATCCACAACAACTAGAGTTGTGAGCTAGAGACTGCCATGTAGACCGAAGTATTTGTATCATGTTGGGAACTTTTCTTAACTTCGTGTACACAAGTTCCCACTGAAGCGACTGCTGGCGTCACGTCCTCCTGCCAGTCAGGGACGAACACACTGGCCAGGTGCTGGCTGTGTCAGTTTTTCAAATGTTGCAAGGTTAAGCGGTGGGAATAGTTACTCCATCCGGTGATCTTTAACCCCAGCAATGGCCTTGAGAATGGCTGATTGGAGCTTCTGTAGAACTCTGGTTAGTCTTGCGTCGTGCTGTTGATGAAAAAGCATCTGGTAATATGTCTGAACAAAGTTTCCTTAAAAACAATTTATTCTTATGTAAATATTCAATAAGAGGAACCAAAGGGGCTGAATTGGCTGGATACCTTCTATGATATCGATAAGATTGTCCAGAACAGACCGAAGCCCTATGTGACATATATCGACCCCACAATATGATGATGATGATAGTTATGATGATACTTATACACATTTCTGTGACTTAAAGGAATTGATTGTTGACTGTTATCAAGAAATAATGCCCATACATAAAATCTGTTTCTTTTCAGCATGAAAAATGTTTTCCTAACCACCGACAGAGATTCACTAGTACATGCGATTGTCTTCAGTTTATCAAATATAGTTCTGCATGATCCGCCTTTGATGTTTGTGGTACCTCTGATGTGATGGGTCTGTGTCACACATAGATACATACGGATATTTCTCACAGGCCACAGAGCATCAGGTAGACTTGGTGAATGCAAACATATGTTTTGTTCATACTCTTGACCAGTACCCTGTTAGGTCTGTGTCGTGAACTTTGAGAACCCGCTTCATAATTCCCATATGCTGGGTTTGATCCTAGATGAGGGCCACCTGGCAGCAGACCGTCTTGCGTTGATTTCGGTGGTGGCATCGAGAGTGTCCAGTTCAGAGGGCAATGGCAAACTATTGAACGTTAGTTTGTCTAGTGAATTCATAAACGTGGAGACAATGCTGTGATTGGTTCTGCAACATTTTGTAAAGGACACGAAACTAACTGACAGTATCCTCTTCAACCTGTGCACCCTACAGTCTGGAGCTATGTTCATTATTTCTCGTTGTCTCTATTCCCGTCAACTCTCCCTTTCAAGTTTTTGTGTCTAAATATATGGAAAACGTTGTGAATTTGTCAGCTCCATTGCTAGCGACACATCCTCATCACTAAAGTCACTATTGTCATTATTTCAGTCTTTCGGAAGAATGTGCGGATTCCGTTCTACAGTTGTCTGCCTTGTGTGGCTCTCTTCACTTCCATGTATGTCTGCTTGTATAGATTTTAGCGTGTCTTTGTTATCAATATTGTCATTTCTCTACTTCTTTCTCTCTTTTCTTCCCCTTCGGTTTTATCTGTTGTGCTTTCGTCTGTCCGTACATATGACCAAGATAAGATAGTTTGCGTCCTCTCAGGTAGCTATTGTAATTATTATTATGATTATTATAATCATGCAAATGATACATAATTAACTCATTATTCATATTAATTTTCATATTATTATTATTATTATTATTATTATTATTATTATTTTACTTAAGCAAAGTTTACTTTTGTAAAATTCTCTTGAGTGTGATCAGTTGTGATTTATTCAGTTCTGGCACATTCCGGGCCGTGCTTTGTTTTTTTCACCAAACATAAAACTGTATCTCGAATGAATTTGCGCACAACGAAGAGCCGTATAAAGGGCCATATACTGCAAATAGCAGGGATCGCCCAAATGGTTAGGTTACAACGAAAGGTTACAAACGCTAATTTTTGTTTTTATTGTTGACAAAATTGAAAACTATAGGTTACTCATGCTAATTGTTGATTGCTGACAAAAATGTAAACGATATGTTTCTCGAACAATATCTTGAGGCCTCGGAGATGTGGTTTTACAAAGAAATCCATGGAATTCCCTTGACAGCTAAAACGAGCAACTAAGATGAAAAAGGCCAGTGCTCGAAGTCAACTTATCACAAATATCAGAAAGAGAGTCATACATTTGTGGTCATGTTATACGAAGAGGGAGACTGGAACATGTTGTGGCCACTGGAAAGATCTAGGGAAAGAGAGACAGAGGAAGGTGGCGCGAGAAAAATTCTTGACATGGCATAGAAGGGTGTCAGCACATAAACTGGTATATGCAATTGCAGATCGCGGAGTGAGGAGAGACATGATCACCCACGCCAGTGATGATAATGATTATGAATGTGATCAAGTATTTCTAAGAAATGTATCGCTTATAGAAAAAAAGAATGTTCTCGTATACCTACATTATAAAATGGATGGACGGGGAACACACAGGGACATGTTTGGTCATTGTTTGTTATCCTTGCAGTTTTGTTATCCTTGCAGTGGTTCTAGGGATGATTAATTAAATTTGAACAAAGAAGACACAAACAATAGATTGCACAATTTATTGCCTGGCATATTTCGCTGTATCTCGTCAGGTGCATACTACAGTAACAATTACATAAATGAAGCAAATAAGTAAATCCTTTATAAATGAAGTACAATTTCAACAACGATCAAACTTGACTGCCTGTTTTTTTTTTTCCAGGGCAGCCGTAAAGACTGAACGATCTCTTTCTGAATACAGAGTTCCGGGCGCAGGTGATGAATCGCGGAAGCTTCGAAACATCTTAGCGTTTTGCCATTGGTTGAAGGATTTAAAAACGTTGCATTTAGTCACCACGTCACCAAGCTTCGGAATTACAATTTACGCAGCAATAGGTGTTTCGTCCTTTTTAGGACGAAATTTTTTGTTCTTTGAAGCCCCACCCTGGCTTTTGCCAGGGGCCGCAATATAGGCAGGACATAAATATGGTCAATTGTCTGAACGCGGTTTCTGGGACCTTTCCACGGCGATCCTCATCCACATGGTGGCGCTTTATGTCATCGGGTGTTTGTCGCTTGTGTGATGTCCTTGTGGGATAGGTAGTCAGTCAGTCAGTCACCACGTGTCCAGATTTTAGAAGATGGCGTGTTATTGCAGAGTGGTGATCTTTGCGGCCACTATTCTGATTTTGAATATTTTTTTGCTTGGCTTTTTCCACATATTCTTTGTTCGAATTTACAACGGGGAAACATTGCTTTGAATATTAGTTAAAGCTGCAAGGTACCACAACGCCTGTCGTCACGACAAACACACTAACACGCAAACATAGAGGAACATAGGAAAACGGGCTACAGGTGCCCACTGCAGTAACAGTAGACGTGATGTTTGATGTCATGTCAAAGTAGATAAATATAAAGGATGTCTGTATGTCCCATGCGACATTTTTTATATATGATGCTAGTTTGATATTTGTGAACGGCGCTTAGTAAAAGGGAGATATAGGGATTATTAGGCCGACTGCATTTATATCTGTACCCAGTTAGGAGAGAGCAGCATGGGAGTTCAGGTCATCTAAGAACATATTTTTTCCAATAGCGAATGAAACCTGTTACTGCCAGTCGGTAGGTAGGAGCTGTAATTACTACGCCACCCCGGCTCTTTTGTGTGTGTGGTCTTTTTTTTTAGTAGCTGATGCAACGGACTTTAAAAAAAAAATTATTTACAGTTTATATCATCATCAGGGTTATTTTCCCCCCTATTTTCTCACAGAATTGCCTTCTGTAGGATTAACATCATGAGGATGAGAATCACACCAGTACAAATCCAGGAAACCGCGTTCAGCCATAGAGCACAGTTGAAATGGGGAAGCACAATACGGTTACAATCAAATTGTGGCCCAGTTGTCGGTGTTACTGCATGCAGTTCGGTGCCTTCAACAGAATGTTCACACAAAAAATTCTCTTTGTTTGGAGTTCATATTTCTGGAATAACTGTTCTCCCCTTCCTGAATACTGTTATTTATTTATTGTACATAATTCATTATTACCATCATGTGCCTTGACAACATTTCTTCAGGTTCATGTGTGTCCACATATTTCGATACTAGGTGTTATAGCAACTTTGTTAATACATTCATCCTAACGACTCTCTGAAACCTTCCAGCAATATTTCTCTTTCTCTATGTATCTCTCTCTATGTATCTCTCTCTATGTATCTCTCTCTCTATGTATCTCTCTCTATGTATCTCTCTCTGTGTATCTCTCTCTATGTATCTCTCTCTATGTATCTCTCTATGTATCTCTCTCTCTACGTATCTCTCTCT